AACGCGATCACATGTTGTGAAAGAACTTTTGGAAATCTTTAAAATGCGTATTTCCTTCTGGCTAATTGTCCCATTGCTGTGACATTCTCAAGGGCCGAAGAAAACTGGCAAGAAAGAGCAGAAAACCTGGTGACTTGTACCTTTATTGTTGGGTAGATATAATATCCAGAGCAAGAGGAGCCAAGTGCTCCCCCACAGTTTGAAACTGAATCAGCCCAACATTCAATCCTGAAAATCCAGAATATATTTTCCAATTTAACCCCTCATTAGCTTCCTCCCCTCTGGCAAGTTTCACGACATGAAAACAGAACTTGTCTTTTATCACATCAAAATGTTTCACAGGTAATTACTGTTAAGTGTATTGACTGCAACAGTTATTTGTTCCAGGAAGGTCCCACATGCAGTTACGATCCATTAATCTGGTGGATTGTTGGGCAGCATAGACTCCTTTCTCTTCAAGTATAATCATGAGAACTTTAGTGCCCACCTGACCAAATAAACAGGACCTTGATTTAAGGCGTGACTAGAAGCAACTATTAGAGAAGCCATGGCTCTTCAGTCTTTAAGGGAGATGTCCTGAGAGAGGATTAAGGAAAGTATATCAAAGTTTAAATGAGATAAAAACAGTAAATACATTACAAAACTTTAAGATGCATCAAGACAGTAGAACAAGATGATGTAGGTTTAGAGTTGCAAAAGGCAATTTCAGGGTAGAAATTGGAACAGGAAGAGTGGTTGAGACCAGGATGCTCGACTCGTGTAAAACACAGCTTGATGCTGTGATTGGAAGATGGTAGGGTGAATATTCTGTAAGGATGAGATCTAACCAAAAGACCTTCTTCATCTAACCCAATCTTGTGATCTTGTGAATATTTTAACCTAGGCTATACCTAGACATGTTCTGACCCACTACGCCCCAAAACTCTGGAACACTCTCCCTCAATCCCTCCACCTTCCCATTTTTAGGTCATACCTGAATACCTTCCTCTTCAACCGTGCCTATGGTCACCTCCCCCTGGCTCAGCGTTGTGCTCGATCACTGTCAAGCACTCTAGGACACTACCCTGCATGAGGGGTGTTATATAAATGCAAGTTGTTGTTGTTATATGATTTTGGATAATTTTATTGTAGTTTTAACACTTAGCCTGCGCTGTACCCTTATCCACCAGTATCCATCACAATGTCAGTGGTTTACAGACAAGTAATGTTGATGACATGAGTTAAATAAAATCTTTTCCCATGTAAATAAATAACATGACAAGGCAGAGAGCTGTGGTAGCTGAGTGGTGAAACTAATTTGGATAGGCATGGAGTGAATTACCAGTGTGGGAGCTTTCAGAAACATAAAACCATAGAAATTTACAGCACAGAAGAAAGCCATTCAGCCTACCGCGTCTGTGTTAGCTCTTTTCAGAGCAATCCTTTCTGCCCCATTTACCTGTCCTTTCCCTGTGGTTGAATCCTTGTTAAGGATTTATCCAGTTGCCTTCAAACGCTAATATGGATTCTGCCCCAACCACCACTCCCAGCAGGGAATTCCATATCCGAACTGCTCTTGTGTTTTAGTTCGATTCTCCCATTATAAACTCCAATCACCAAGATTTGTCTGCGAAATAGGAGAGATTAACACATGATTTGTCTTTTCTTGTCTTGTTGAGCTCATATTGTTCAGGAAGGAAGGGCATCTAGAAACTGATTGTTTGAAATGAATTGAACTTTTGATCTGTATTTTCCATATGGTTGGCAATGTCAATTGAATAAAATAATGATCTGCAACTGGCTTCTAAGTGCACAGAACTGTATCCAGAGCCAGGAGAAATTGGACCAAAGTTTGAGCAAAATTCCATGTGCTACATTAAGACTGTGGATAATGGCATTTCTTTTTATTGTCAATCTACAGTCTATTTGATTGCAGAAGACAAACAATTCATTCTAACACTGTTCAATTCTGCTTTGCATATCTGACCGATGGAATAAGTACGAATCAACTTCTGGTTTTCCTTTTTTTCTTTTACCTTTTCATCACCTTTTTCTTGAAGTTGCTAACGCACTAAAAAAAAATCCCTTCTCGATATCTGCTAATAAATCAATTATTTTTGTGCAAACATCTTTACTCTTTCTTGTTCCAAAGTGCATTACCTTACTTTTAGCTGCTTTAAACTCAATCTGCCACTGCCTTGCCCATTCAGAGGTCCTGATCTTCTTTTCATCCTTGAATGTGTTCATTTAGCCAGAGACTTGACATTATCAGCAAAGTACTGACCTCTAAAGTCATTTATGAATAGCATGACCTTAAGAAGTTCCAGAATAAACTCTTGCGGAACTCCACTGCCCTCTCCCTCAGTTTTAGACTTAGATTTATCATGTTTCCATTTCCACCATCCTGCTTTCCTAAATTGAGTAGCTGACACTTGCAGAAGCTTATTAGCACATGTAAGCACTGAGAGTTCCGTATGTATGCCATCTATACATGGGAATGTCTTTGTCCATAATCGAATGCACAACATCCCTGGAGGCATGTACCCTGTTTGCATTATTCCGGATACTATTAGGTGTAGGTTGGCAAGAGCCAAAGCCTGGGAAATACAGAATGTGTGTTGCCGCTCTGCTCGAGTTTAACCAGTTAAAAATCTTAGCTTGCCATTGAGAGCGCTGACTGGCAAGCTTCTCGCTGTTTGTCCTACTGGGACCATACTACCTGTTAGGGCTTTGGTTTGCAGGGTTAACAGGATCTGAGTGTGAACAGAAACTTTGGGCAAGTTTCCTTACTCCACACGCCTGATAATAAGCCCTCAAAAAAANTTGGTCATTTCAATCCACGACTGTTTGTGGGACACTGCTGTGTGCAATTGGCTGCCACATTTCGCCCACAAATATACAGTCAATTCACTTTACAGTCTATTCTGTGAAGTGCTTTGAGATGTCTATAAAACGTGAAAAGCACAATATCAAATGCAAGGATTATTATTATTATTATTATCCCTGCTCCTAGTGAAAATTTTAGATTGCGTCATCCATAGTCCACATTATCCACAGAATGGAGCTTCCTTGAATAATTTAGTGCAAGAAAATAATTGCTTCCAAAGTGGGAAAGCAGTATGAAATAGGTTCAGTGTTTCACTGGCTTCTATTCCTAAATAAAGTTCTATTTTAATCAACTCTTTGGTCTCCTCATGAACCTAGGAAAAAATAGCATGTCTCAACCCCTTACAGTGCATTCCAGGTATGATTTACCATTGGATTTTTTTGAGCCTTGGAAAAAAATGAGCAAAAGACTATTTATTCTGGTTTCCACTTTCCTCAATAACCATTTAGTCTCTTTTGCTATACCTGTCTTAACAATCCATTTCTGAGAGGCATGACTGCATGGGGATGCCAAACAATTTCACAGAGAAACTTTACACTTTTTTGGTGCAAAACAGTAAATCTCATCTGTTATCCTTATTTGCTGCATGTAATGTTTTTCAGCACTAATATTTTTTCCATGAGGGGCACATCTTAGGGTTTCACATTACTTCACCATTAATTGCAATATTTCTGACAGAGCAAATAGCCAAACTATGAAATATCTAAACTGTTAGCTCAACTACGTTGGGATTGCATTGTGTGTTCACAGAATGATAGATTACAAATTACAATGTGCTGAAAATCAATCGCTGTTCATCATGTAAAGTACTTACAGATTGCAATTGCTATTATAGACTGTGGTGCTGACAATCAACATATAAATCAGACAGTCACCACTATAATTGTCATCTGGGATTATAATTTGCTAAAGTAAGCAGGAAAAGGCAAGGAGGATCATTATTGAATTGAAACATTTCCTGCCTTAAAAGCCCAGATAGCTTGATACATAAACTAAAATATCAGGTAGCTAGCTGTCTGGAAACTCACTAGCTGCAGAACTTGGATCATGAAATCCTCAGTTAAAATGGGAGCTTCTGTTAATTTTTACTTGATTTAAGTAAATTTAAATTTTACATTACAACAGGTGGTATCACAATTAACTATCAGACGTCGGGGTGGTGAAATTGTAGTGTAGCAGTACAATAATGGTGAGTGTTAACTGGTTTTCAACATCCATTCAAAGGTGTATTGTCATAGCTATTCTCACAGCATATCCTTCAGCTTCTCTGATAGCTTGGTGTGTAAAGGCAGCACTAGAAGGTCACAGGCCTGGACCAACAGTCAAAGTTCTGGAATTGGTTTCAACGCCCTTGCAACACTTGTTCACATTTTTGATTGTGGTGTAGACCCCACCAGAGGGGAACACTATAATAATAATCCTTGCATATAATGTGGCACCTTATCACATCGCTGCGACGTCTCAAAGCGCTTCATAGAATATACTGTAAAGTTAATTGACTATATTTTGTGAGCAAAATGCAGCAGCCAATTGCGCACAGCAGTCTCCCCCAAACAGTCGTGGATTGAGTAACCACATTTTTTTTCAGGGTTTATTACCCCCGGAAAGCGATCCGCCAATCGACTAACAACCAGGTTCTCACTTACTGCTAGATAAACAGAAGCTTGTGGAGTAAGGAAATTTGCCTACGGTTTCTCCCTGCCTGGGAGTCGAACCTGAGCCACCTCACTAGGGCAAGTGCTCTATCTAATCACTAAGCTACAGAACTCCAAACTAGAGTCAACTTATCTATTAATTAAACATATCAAAATATTTTATTAATTTACAAAAAATCTAATTCTGTATATCATTAAAAAATAATTAAGTAGTATGGGGGAAAAGTGTTGTAAATGTGATAATTATCACAAGCCCAGAAAATGCAGTTGTTTAGTTCCTATGAGACATCCTTCTGATGTGAAAAGTACTATATAAATGTAACTGCTGTATTGACCTTTAAAGCCTGCCTTTGACGACAGTTATTGGAGTGAGCACAGTTTAGATTTTTTTCCTCCTGAGATAATAGTAAATTCATCAGAATATTCTCTATAATTACTGAATAGTTTAAATAACCTATCTATTCTCATTTCCTTCACAGTTGTCATAAGACCAACAAAACCTGTTCCAAAAATCACACCTGGAATAATTATTTCTGCAGATGTGTCTTGCAGCACGACTTCAGCAGTTTTATGCCCCCAAAAAGGGATACAGGTCAGTGTACTCATATATTTTTGGTAGATGGGCATCAGACACATGCAGAAACCCATCGCCATGTTAAGAGTATTCAGACCAAACTGAGAATTCCATATAAGCCACCTGCACAGGGTAATGACCATGTCTCAAATGGAATATATAATATAATAATCCTTGCATTTGATACAGTGCTTTTCACATTTTCTAGACGTCTCAAAGCGCTTCACAGAATATACTGTAAAGTGAATTGACTATATGTGAGGGCAAATGCGTTAGCCAATTGCACACAGCAGTGTCCCACAATCCACATTGGATTGAAGTGATCAATTTTGTATTGCTTTTTTTTCTTGAGGGATTATTATCAGGCGTTTGGAGGAAGGAAACTTGCCCAGGGTTTCACCCTGCCAGTTATCGAACCCAGGTCTCTTGCTTGGGAGGCGAGTGCTCTAACCACTGAGCTACAGGACTCCACGAGTCCTAGTGTGTTCCTATTCTCTCCCTGAAGGAATGCATTCTGATTGCTGAATTTCAGAGTATTAGGCACAAATTAACAAGAGTCATTGCTGGTCGATTCCAATGTGTGCATTGAGGTACTGCTGGAGCTTAACCAGCTAAAACTACTTAGCTAAAATCATTGTTTTTCCAGCTAAAACCACCCTGCACATCATTGAGGTGTATCAAAGTGCTTCACAGGATTTTACTGTAAAATGTAGTGACCGTGTATTTTTGTGGCTCAGTATGGCAGCTAATTTGCATACAGCAGTGTTCCACAAACAGCCATGAAGTGTATGATCAATTTTATATGGCTAGAACAGGGAGAGAAATCACTTTATCTTTTCAAATAGTGCCACAAGATCTTTATTTAACGTCCATCTGAATAGACAGACAGCATCTCAGTTTAACATTTCATCTAAAGGACAGTATCTCCAACACTGCAGTGGTACCTCAGTCCTCCACTGGAGTATCAGCCTAGACTGTAAGTTCAAAGTCCCAACTTCGGGCTTGAAGGAACAATCTAGTTACTCAGAGCCAGAACACCTCCACTTGAGCCAGGCTGCCAGGTTAATTCCTCAACTCTCCCAAACACATTGTATTAGGAATGTGGAAGAAGCAATCAATAGAAGTAACTAATGTCTTGATTGACTCCTTTAAAAAAGATCTTGAGTACATTAGTGGAAGATTTAGGAGTACCTAAGGACATAACAAAATGACCAGCACCAGTCTAAAGTGCACACAACCTGTTCAAATCTTTATTCAGTGTGGGAAAGCTATATATGATCTTTCAATGTGACCTTTTACTCCACTTTAACAAAGAACTTGCATTTTTAGTGTCCAGTCACAATTAAAATACCTCAAAGCTCTACTAGTGACTGTTAACTGCAGCCACTGTCATTGTGGTCAGGCACAGTAGGGCAGAGAGGAAATTGGAAGCAGCAGAGCATGTGCGGATGAAGAAATGGAAAGAATTCAACAGCCAAAACCAAACAAGACAGAGGATATAAACTACAGGACCCCCAATAAAATGCATCTGGAAATAGGTGGAAATAGATGAGATTCTTAATATTTAAAGGAGCTTTTTGTTTCTCCTCATTGTATTAGAAACACAGTATAAAATCTCAGTAAGAACTACTGATTTGTCTTTTGACTCCTTCAAAAGGGAACTTGAGAACATTGGTGGAAGATTTGGGGATAATGACATCATGAAATGTTACATAGTAGACAATGATTTCTGTGCTGCTGGGAGGAGAGGGGAGAAGAGACTGTTGTCTGTGGAGGGGAAAGCACTATGGTTGAATGGTTGAGTTGTGGGGGTTGGATCAATATCCTCGAGTTCTTCCTTGATTGCCTTTGTGGTTCCTGGAGTATCTTTCTGGTAGTTTTCTTTAGGAGATGAAATAAGTTCAGTGAATTCCCTGACAATGTAGATTTTGAATAATAAATGATAATAATCCTGCATTTGATATAGTACCTTATCACGTCTTCGAGACATCTCAAAGTGCTTCACAGGTTATGCTGTAAAGTGGATTGACACTATATTTTGTGGGTGAAACGCAGCAGCCAATTGCACACAGCGGTGTCCCACAAACAGTCATGGATCGAGTGACCAAGTCATTATTGTTATTTTTTTAATGGAATAGCCATGGGACAAGTGAATCTGATGGGTCAAGTGCCCTTGTCTTGTTCCATGCTTTTTTATGTTCTTATATTGTTGGTCTATTGACTCTTATCCCCTCTGCATCCCTTAGCTCAACAGCTGTAATCACTCCTATTGCTGCTGCAGTATTGTCTTACATAGATTCTAAACTTTACTCTTTATTTTAACAGTGGTATGATTTGCCAAAATCAACACCAAAATGTTATTTTGCATAACGTGCACCAAGATTTGTTTTTCAAACTAATTCTTTGTTTCGCATTTGAAAGCATCACACACACAGCGATAGACAGAGGATGGCAAGACCATTGAATGCCCCAGTTATGTAATACTTTTAGTGTTGATTTTAGCATAACATCAATTTCAGTCAGGCATTCTTGGAGTTTTCCACAAATATTAAAAATAATAATTCTTGCATTTGATGTAACGACTTTCACCTCAGGAGGTGTTTGAAAGGAGTCACTGTAAAGTGTATTTGCACACTATCTCAGCTTTCAAATGGCACACAGCAAAGTCCCAGCCATGAAATACATGATCAATTTTATCTGGGAGATTGGTGGACCACCCACAGGGAGAAACCTCTTTCTTATTATCAGGACACAATGCCAAGGTCAGAAAATCTGTCAACGATTCACAGTTCACCCCCCCAAATCCTCCTGAGATATTTAGTTGGGTAACCAAAGGGACAGCTTCTTTTCTGAATCATTTGGATACAGTTTTTGCGAACTAAGCAATTAAAGCATATCATCAGCAGCAACAACAACAAGATTAGATTTGTATAAATAAAGTGGTGTCGCTTGAACATTGAGGGTAAATCTCTTCTGGCCCTGGATATATCTATATTGTTCGAATTCAAGATCCTCATTCTCACCTACAAGGCCATTCACGGCCTTGCTCCCTCCTACCTCTCCGACCTACTATCCCCCTACTTACCTGCCCGTACCCTCCGTTCCTCTGGCTCCGGTCTTCTCCACATCCCCCGCCCTAATCGCCCTACCATCGGTGGCCGGGCCTTCAGCCTCTCAGCCCCCAGGCTCTGGAACTCCATCCCCCAGTGCCTTCGCCGCTTCCTCCCTTTCCTCCTTCAAGGCCCGTCTTCAGCTCCCCTCTCGACTCTCTACCCCCTCCTCGCTCCTTCCCTTCCCTCCCCTCACCCTGACCATTTCCCCCCTGCTCGGGTCCTGACCCAACAGTCCAGTGCCTTGGGACGTCCTCCCGACGTGAAAGGCACTCTATAAATGGAATCTTGTTGTTGTTTGCATGTCCACTAATGATAACCTTGACCAGTATCTGTTGCTACTAAACATATAAATGTTTGTTGTTGTTGTTAAATAAGAAATTAATTGGGGCTGAAAATGTAACATCCATATGGTGGATCTCTAAATTTCTCTGCCTTGCACCCTCTTTTTCGCTTTCAACACCCTTCTAAAAACCTTCTTCTTTCATAACATCACAAGATTGGTTTGGATAAAGAAGAGATTTCATTCATCCAGTTTACCTACCTGCCATCTTCCCAACACAGCATCAAGATTGTTTTAAATGAATCCAATGCCCCAGCTTCAATTGCCCTTCCTGGCAACCTGTTCCAGTCTTTGATTATCCTCTGCATAAATAAATACTTCCTTGTATCTGTCCTGAAATGTCTCTTTGGAACTCTTACTTTTTCAATCCCATTTCAAATCCATACGGTCCCTTCTGAAACATTTCCTTTTAAGAATGAAGAGCCCAAGTTTGTTGTGTTTTGCCCATTGTTGCTCGTAGCTTATTCCTCTAAGGCAACTTCTTTAGTCATCTCCACCCCAATGCCCCCCTCCCCCAACTCCAACACTGCTCAAACACCCTTCTCCCCACTCCAAAGTTCTTTGAGTCATTGAAATATGTGAAAGCTGCTATGTAAGAACAAGTTGTTGTAGTAGATTTGCAAATAGAGAATCTTAACAATAACAATATGTGGGAATGGTACTCCAACTTATCCCAAGTAATTGATTATTCACCACTTCCTGAAGGTTTCCAGCCAATACCACAATACATTAACTCATAATATAAAAGCACGTAAAGTGCATTGAGAAGATATGGGATCTTTTTGCAGTAGACAGCTCAACAGACCTGTGCTGACTGTTTTGAGCTGAGCCCAATCCCAACTCTCCTCTTCCCCTCATAGTGTGACAACTCCCTTTAGAAGAGCAACATCCAAGACCAAAAAACAATTGATTTTGTAAAATTGGCAGCTTGTGTAAAACAGTTTGGGCCTGAAAAATAGATAGCATTATCAACACTTTATTCTTTGAAGCGCAACATGAAGCCAGATAATGCTTTGGCAGGAGATGCAATTATTAAGGTTTTCTTTCTTGAGTCTCACCTCTGAGAACATAGATTCATAGATTCATAGAATGTTACGGCACAGAAGGAGGCCATTCGGCCCATCGAGTCTGTGCCGGCTCTTTGACAGAGCAAATTACTTTCACTAACCCCACTCACCAGCTTTCTCCCCATAACCCTGCAAACCCGTCTTCCCCGGATACCTATCCAGTTCTCTCTTAAAAGCTGTTATCGAATCGGACTTCACTACCCTTTCAGGCAGATCATTCCAAATTCGAACAACTCGCTGAGTGAAAAAAATTCTTCTAACCTTCCCTCTGCTTCTTTTGGTAGATATCTTCAGACTGTGACCACGGGTCACAGACACACCTACCAGCGGAAACAGTTTTTCCTTATCTAGCCTGTCGAAACCTTTCATGATCTTGAAGACCTCTATCGGGTCCCCGCGTAACCTTCTCTGCTCTAATGGGAAAAGTCCTAACTTCTCCAGCCTGTCCTCATAGCTAAGGTTCCCCATTCCTGGTATCATTCTCGTGAATCTCCTCTGCACCCTTTCCAGTGCCTTATTGTCCTTCCTGAAGTAAGGTGCCCAGAACTGAGCTCAGTACTCCAGCTGAGGCCTAACCAGTGTTTTGTATAGATTAACCATAACCTCCCTACTCTTATACTCTATGCCCCTACTAATGAAGCTCAGTACACCAAATGCCCTTTTTACCCCCTTATCTACCTGCCCCGCTACCTTTAATGATTTGCTTACTTGAACGCCCAGATCTCTCTGTACATTCATCTCCCTTAAGATTGAGCTACCATGTCTATATTGCCTCCTATCATTTTTCTTACCTAAGTGTATCACCTCACACTTATCCACATTGAAATCCATCTGCCACATGTCAGCCCATCCCACCATTCTGTGTATGTCTGCTTGCAGTTGGTTACAGTCCTCCTCGCCATTTACTACCCTACCTAACTTTGTATCATCTGCAAACTTGGAAATAGTGCCCTCTATGCCCAAGTCCAGATCATTAATATATATTAGAAAGAGCAGTGGTCCCAATACTGATCCACCAACATGGAAGCTCAGTTAGGAAAAATACCAAAAATATAGCACCCGCTGCAAATGAAGATGGTTCTTCAGATTGGGCAGAGATCCCATCCACAGATGTGCGAAGACTCATATCAGAATTGATAAATACATTATAACTCATGTCCAATGTCATTTGCCTTGATGTAGGAAGCATAGAAGTTATGCAAAGGCTGAAAGGAAATCAAACTTCACTTAAATCCCTACTTCTTCATTTGTATTATTCTACTGTAAATGTTAAGAAGGTGGTTAACACGACACCTAACTTATTGTCTGGGAGCGGTAAGTACAATATGAGTTCTGTCAAGGGTGACAGACATAGACTTTATATTAAACTTAAAGAAATAAACTTGCAATCTTCTAACAATCTGATTTCCCCAAAACAATCTTCAATAAAAATTGCAATTTAATTGAAATTTGGTTGATCTGTTTGTAGTTGACAGGTGAATTAAATGATAGGTCAATGATCTAACCTAAATATTGTCTGAATGACACCAATGTGGAGAAAAATATTAAAATGAACAGATAAAATGTTCTATTTGATGGCCTTTTTTACTTAATAGCTACTTCCGTCGAAGAAATAGCAACCCCAAACGATTAACTATGAACATTACAAAAATTGAATGTCTGGTTTTGACATTGAATTAAAAAAAAATCTGCTTCTCCATTTGATCCTCATTCAGTTTGGCAGCCTGAACGAGCTGTACTTTTAGCTTTGTTTTTTTTCCATTATTCAATCGTCCCAGAATTACAAACTAATATTTGAGCTTTAAAGAAAATGTGTTTCAAATTTCAGAGGTGCTTTATTGGTATTATGTCTGAAACCATGAACAAATGTTATTTTGATTCGACAAGGCCGTTTTTAGTAGTTGGAATTATGATGTAAATCTTAAGGAAAATAAAGAGAGCACTAAAATAATGGGTGGTATTGCTGCCTTATTTACTGCATATTTCATAGTCAACTGATTCTACCAAAAAGCCTCCATGGTGATCTTTTTGGGGTCAACTAGGAGTCTAACACATGTAGAAACCATATCACAGTGCTTAAAAGAATGCAAACTAGATTGAGAGATCCAAATATGTATCCTACCTACACAAGGAAATTTCTCAATCTCATTTGTATTCTTACACAAGGAAATTTCCTGTGTCTTATATAGAAATGCAATTGAGTGGAATTTTCCCTTCTCTGAAAATAATCCCAAGTAATAAACGTTGTGTAGTTGTTAGATAAGAAAAGCGATGGCAGCCTGTAAGCTAAGTTTTACAAGGATAAGTCAAAATCATTGTGATTATAAGAAATGGTCCTGACCTTCAAAATGCCCCCACAGCCTTGCACCACCCTATCTTTATTATCTCCTGCAACCCAATTGTCCACCAATTCCCTTCGCCTTGCCACCTTCAGCCGCCTTCATGCCTCAACCTGTTCTGCCCTCGGCATCGGCAGATGGACCTCCAGAAACTTTGCCCCCTCCCTCTAGAACTCTATCACAAAATTCCTCGATCCCTCCCCTTCACTCTCTGCTCTCAAATCCCATCTGAAGATCTATCAGTTTGACTGCATTTTCAGCCACACTGTCTGCTGTCCTTCAGGTGAATGTTACAGATTCTGTGACGCTATTTGCAAAAAAAGAAGGAAGTTTCTCCCAGCTTTCCAGCCAACAATTGGAACAATGTATGCCACTGCCAACAATTAATTGGAAATTCACCTCATGTTGCAAATGTCTGCCTGCAATTAACAGTCACCACACTTGGCAGGAATTAGTTCACTATGAAAAAGATGCGATAAAATTGCATGTTCTTAATGTAATTGATTAATCTTTGCCTAATTTAATGTTTAACAATTTCTATATTTTTTCAAAGATGGAGACACTGGCTTTCACGTCTGTGGGCCAAATAAAGAGCTTGATGAAGATACCTGTCAGTGTGTATGTAAAGGTGGTTTGCACCATTCCAGCTGTGGAGCCCACAAGGAACTGGATAAAGAATTGTGCCAGTGTGTGTGCAGAAATGGACTGTATCCGGGCATATGTGGACCCCATAGGCAGTTTGATGCAGATTCTTGCGAGTGCATTTGCAAAAAAAGCTGCCCGAGAAATCACCCTTTAAATCCAGCGAAATGCGTCTGTGAATGTACAGAATCTCCAAACAAATGCTTTCTGAAAGGAAAGAGATTTCATCCTCAAACCTGCAGGTGAGTGTTGTGCCAGACCGCACTTTCATTTAAATATTGGGGTAAACTTCTGGGCATTTCAGAACACATTCTTTTAAATAACCAAGCAATGCATTGCGAAATACCATAACAAATTACAACCATAACACTGGCTATCCACACTACACTAAATTAGGACCATTTAAAGGAGTGAAATTGCCTTTAACTAGTCTCAGTGGAAAATACTCTGCACTGCAGAGTGAGCACTTCTATATATATATATATATAGCTGCAGAGTGTCTTACACATCTCTAATCTTTATGCGGCTCCTTAAGAGTGCCTGGGTTCATAAACCTGGTGTCGTGTGTTGTATAGTGAATGTGTAGTGAATGCTTCAATGCTAAATTAGTAATGGATTTGTGCTATGATACATGTTTATGAAGTTGAAATTTTGCTTCACACTGTACTCTGTTATGTGTCTGCATGTTGCTATTAGATGTGAGTTTTTTTGTTAACTGGATAACTTATACCTGTAAATTTAGTTCCATTAAATATCATAATGTACAGTACAAATTCAAAGAAAAGGAAATTGAATGATACTTTTATTAAAAGACACAAGTTACAAAGTAACTTAAACCTAGTACTTTCAGCGGAATATTCTTGGAAGAATAGCAAGATGTTCACAATGCGAGGTCTCCTTTAAGCAGGATGGTATTATGATGATGTTTCTTCATGTAGGCCTCACTGGATGATACGAAAGTAGCTTCAGTTATTCTTGTCCGATGCAACAAAGTCTGTACTTTGGGAACCATTTACAGTACTGCATTTAACTAGTCATTCAGTAGCACCAAGTGTCAGAAATAAAGTTCTCTCTCACCAATGGCTTTTCTTTCAATCTTAGTAAGTCTTGGCGGAATTACATTTCAGTCAGTCAGATTCAGGAATAAAAAATGATCTCTTGAGGGACGAACCACAGTTCGTTAATTTCTTGAACAGTCTGTAAGGTTATGTTCCTATATCTCCTTAGACTTCCTTGTATTTAAGTGAATTTTGTTCAGTTCCCATGTGCCGCTTGCCAATGTCTTTGTAAGATGGAGGCAGCGCAAATCACATATGCACAGGATATGAAATATTCTGTTACAATTCAGCCAATTCATTGTTAGTTTGTGCCAAATTATGGGTAGTTCTGTGGTGCTGGGTTGCACATGCTAGGAACTGTGCCTAAACTTATTTCACTAAACACTCTTTCAGCTGCCAGAGAAAGGAAAAACATTAAATCAGTCAGGCTGGCTGGAATCTAATTAGCTCCACTACTGAGTTCACATTGTATTTGCATCATAAAAGTCTACAGCGTTTTTGTCTCTGGCGATCCTCTCCTCTTATTAACTTGTTTTTTGTCAGCTGGGTGTCTGAAATATGCGGAAACCCATCACCATGCTTTAGTATCCAAACCAGACTGAGCGTTCCACATGGAAATTTTTCTATATGGAATGGAATGCCCACTCTCTCCCCAGAGGGAAACATCCTGCTTACCTAATTCCTCACAGTATTAAGCACAAGTTGGCAAGAACCAAGGCTTGGGAACCTCAGAATGTGCTTTGGGTTACTGCTGGAGGTTAACCAATTAAAACTGCATATCCTGCCTTTGTAAGCACTGCCTGGCAAGCTTTCCTGCTACTGTCCAGCAAGGGTCATGCTACCCATTTGGGCTTTGATTTGCAAAGCTGAGTGGGAAGAATCCCTGCTCCCAGTGACTGGTTTGCTCCTCCAGGTTGACTGGTCTGTCATCATCAGTGGCATTGCGGATCCCGCCTGGCTCAGGGTTATTAACTGATCACTCCACAGCTGTACAAAACAAATAAAAATAATCCTGTTTCATTTTCATTCTGCAGTTGCTTCAGGCCACCCTGTGTAGTTCGAACAAGGCGCTGCAGCCAAGGTTATTACTTCAGTGAGGAGGTGTGTCGCTGTATTCCATTACATTGGAGAAGATCGCATATTGATTATTATTGACAGCGATTTAGTTTCTTTGGCAAAAGAACAATTTTCACAATTTCACACGGACACATCTGCCAAGAGGTGAACATTGTATAAAAGAATACATAGTATTTTACATGTTGCATTCATACGTACACCAGAGACCCAAGAGGCGCGAAGGAGCCCTGGCACTGGACATTCAAACGACATGCAGAAATACAATGTAGATTACTACATTGTCACACAAGGAACTCACCATGAACTTCATGTGATACGCCAATGACCAAAAGGTCTAGATTTTTGTCGAGCTCATTTTTTTTAAGATAATGAATCTATATCTAATTTATTGCCACCAAAATGTTGTGCAGCATTCCTGTTCATAGCAGTTAACAACTGTAAGAGCTCACTGTGATCAGTATTTTTATATCATGTAAAATATCTTTAAAATAAAAGGCAAAAGTGTATTGTAGATTGTGTACCCATTATAGACGTTACGCAGTTTTGTGTCTTTATTCTATTTCTGATGTACGAGTGTCAGATTTTAATGCAGTAAAATACTGTAATGGCAACAGAAAATTCTCTATCTGATGATGGACCTTATCTCATCCATTCTAATGGCACAGAGAAGATTTTGTGGCCTAGGCTAGCACTCCAATGTAGTGTGTTGTATTATTGGAGGTTCTGTCCTTCAGATGAGATATTAAGCCGAGGTCCTGCATGCCTGTTCAGATGGACATTAAAGATCCCATGGCACTACTCGAAAAGTGAAGGGTATCTCTTCTGATATCTGGGCAAATACTCCCCATATAAAATTGGGGCTTCATGGCTGTTTGTGGAACATTGCTATGTGCAAATTGACTGCACCATTTGCCTACAAAATGCACAGTCACTACATATTACATCAATTTCTGTGAAGCATTTTAAACAGTGCTATATCACATGCAAGGATTATTATTATTATTATTGATAATAAAATATGGAGTTGCAAAACAGGAGCAAAACTGAAAATGAACTGGAATGTAATAAAATCCAGAAGAGAAGTAAGATAAATACCTCTTGTGTAAATGGTAATAATATTGACTTTCTCTCTTCCCCACCTAAGACCAAAATGGTGCAATACAATATTTTCATCATTTTTGCAATGTTAACTTACCAGGATGCAAAAGTACAGGTTAACAATGACCACATTGGTGCTTAATGTTGCGAATGAAACTAACTCCAGCTGCCACCAGGAATCTTCACAGATCTTCAAAGTACAACAAAATATTCAAAAATATAATGTTACTAAAAACAAAGCAGGCCAAGGTTTGCTGGCAAAGAGAAGCAAAAATGTAATTGCTTTTCTAAATATTTGAATTTTTGTCATTTTTTCCCTGGCATAAGCAAAATGAAAGAAAATGAGAATTTAAGGTCTGGTACAGCATTAGGAAATAACAGCAAATCTAGGGATAAATGCAGATTGGGATGAATAAATAATACACGGAATGCAATGGTGTCTCTAATGTTGAGGCCAAAGGGGTGGAGGAATGTGAAGAAAAGGTCAGGATTAAACAATGGAATTGTAGGGGTAGATGAATATCATGCTGTTTTGGGGTTCAGGGTCTTTGCACAACCTTCCCTGTGATAATACAATGGGTGGGTGAGCTCCATTGTCAGATAGACATTGTATATTCTATGGACGTAGAGAAGCTGATGGCCTGAATGGCCTTTTCTTGCTCTATAATTTCTTATCTTTAGTATAAGGTACTTTTTTGTACTGCTCTTCCCACCAATAAAGCCAAGATTTATGCCCTGATTGAAGAACATTTTAAAAATAATAAACAAACTCAATAATAAGATGAATCCTTACTTATGAAACAGTGCCTTCCATGGCAGGAGTATGCCTCAAAGTGCTTTATATTGTAAAGTGTAATAACTGTGTATTTTATAAGTGAACGTGGAATCCAATATGTGCACAGCAATGTCATATAACAGCCATGAAGTGAATGGACAATTTTATTTGGGGTGTCAGGGCAGTTATTTGGGAGAAACTCCCTTCGCTTTTTAAATTGTGCCATGGGAGCTTTAACACCCACCAGAACAGGCAGTCAGGACCTCGGGTGAATCCCTCTTTGAATGACAACACTGACAAAAATGCAGCCCACTTGAAGTATCAGTCTGGACTCTGAGATCAATCACCCAAAAACATGGTTGTTTACTATCAAGAAAAAAAATGATTCTTTAGTAACAATAAAAGGGAACAATTGCAACAAACAGGTCTACTTTTGATGGGTCTCAATGCCACCTATCCACCCTCTCACAATGCCATTCAATCCTATTTCTAGAATTGAATCCGTTCATACTATCTGATTCAAATTCCTTTGCTAGTAACTTATTCCTAAGTCTATTTCCCTTTGCGCAAAGAAAGTTCTGTCTGACTTCCATTCTTACTCCTAACATTTTAATGTATAACCTAGGTCCCCTGGTATTTGAACCTTGGTCCTATCATGCACATATACTGTGTAACTGTGCATTAAACATGCAAACAATTAAGTGAAAATCTTTTGTGAGGCTTTTAAAAAGCAAACCATAATGGACAAATGATATTATGGTTGGCTGTTACATTTACTATAAGAGTAAAACAGATGTTCTATTCAGAGGTTGGTGTACTGATGCTTCCCTATTGTATACAAAGCCCATGGCTCATTTTAGTGATAGGATATTGGCATACCAGTAACGTGCCAGTGCAAAAGATTTTCATTTCACAGTTATGCAGTTAATTCAATTAATGTAGTTGACTTTCATTTTTGGGGTTAGCCAGGTGTCTCAACAAACACAGAAACCCATCAGCATCCTTAAGATTATCAACTCAGACTGAGAGTTCCATGCATTCCACTTCACATGGAAATTCCCGTGTCTGGAATGGAATGCATATTCTCTCCCTGGAGAGACATACCCTGTTTACCTAATTCCGGAGATTATTAGGCATAGATTTGAGTGTGTGTGCTGGTTAATCAGTGAAAACCATATAGCTTTCAATTGAAAGAACTGTCTGGCAAGCTTCCTGCTGCTTGTCCAATTAAGAACACATTACCTCTTTAAGGCTTTATTTTGCGAGATTAACAGATGAGTGGGAAAATTCCCTGCCCCCAGCCTGCACCTCCAAGTCCTAACGATGAAGGGTCTGTCATCAAGTGCCCTGGAGAACTTATATTATTATAATACCTTATTATGTTAAAATGGCTCAAAGCAGTACTACCAAGAACAAAAGCTTTTCAAGTTTTTTGTAGAAAACACAACAGCTTTATTGCATGGAACAATGTTTCACAAATAGCTATGAGGGGAATAATTTGTTTATGTGGGGCAGTGTTGGCCAGGACACTGGGAAAAACTTCTCGTTTGGAATAGGAAAGATCTCTAATAGGTACAACAACAATTTGTATTTATATAATAACAGGCAGGCAAGACTGCAGGTTAACATCTTCTTCGGCCTGTACCTCCAACAATACTGGAATGTCAGCCGAGACTATGAACAGTAACCCTGACATAGGGCTTGAACCTACAACCTTCTGACCCACAGTCAGTATTCTATGAACTGAGCCAAACTGACACCAAGTGCCCAGGAGGAGATGAAGAAGCAAGAAACAATACTCAGCAGCATAGGAAGTTTATTGAAGTTAACAGATGGCGAGTTGTATATCTGTGAAAAAACATGTTTTCTGAAACATGACTTAAAAAANTCTTACATTTGATATAGTAGTTTCACATCAGGAGGATGTCTCAAAATGCTTCACATGATATGCTGTTAAGTGTAGTGACTGTGTATTTTGCAGACAATTCTAAAAANGCTGCTTTGATTACACATTTGTGTTGTGCTGTTGTGTTGAACCAGGAAACCAAATGTAAGGACATATTTAGAAACATGGGAGCATAGGAAAACAGGAACAGGGAGAGGCCATTGAGTTCATCGAACCCGATGATACTTTACTCCCAATGCCCTGTCCTGTCATCATACCCCTTAATACCTCACAAAAACATCTGTCACCTGCAATAGGCTGCCTGGACAATGTCAGCTAAGTTTCTAAAGTGAACCAGAAGTTATAAAGCTGGTGTGACCTTCAGAAAGACAAAGTGATCTAGAGTCTGGCAGTCCTGGACTCAATCCTGTATGATCTCATGCTAGAAATCAGGGTTGTGATTTTACTGAGGAATCGTCTCTTATTGACTTACAGATTCATAAAGACATAGTCAACAGGAGCCTTAGTAACCATTCTACAGTCTACTTGCTGGGTATTAAAAATAAGCTCAATACATAGAACAACATCAATTTAAAATATGTACCAGCCTGGCTCAGATGATAGTTCTTGCCTCAGGATAAGAGGTTGTGGATTCAGGTTCTGTGATGGCCATTTGCAGCTCATAGAATAGGCTAACACTCCAACGCACCATTGGAGGAACACCGGATTATCACAGCTTACATTCTTTGGCTGACATGTTAAACTGAGATCCAATCTGTCCGTTCAGGCGGACATCAGGTGGAAAGCTCCTTGGGACATCCTCCAAACATGAAAAGTGTTTTGCAAATGTAAATTTGTTTTTGATATTGTTGTTGTTAAAGATCCCATGGAACTTATTGAAATAAGAAGGGAGTTTCTGCTAATGCCTTGCCAACAATCCTCCAGTTTCGCCTAGAAATCCACTTTACAATATATTCTGTGAAGTGCTTTGAGATGTCTTAATGGCAAATTGCTATGCACAAATTGGATGCTGTGTTCTCCTACAATAACACACTGCCTGAAAAGTATTGAAAGCATTTTCATGTGATAAGTCGTTATATCAAATAAATGTAAATGCAACGTAATTTGTTGTTGTTGTCTCAATGACATAATAAGGCACTATATCAAATGTAAGGATTATTATTCAAAGTTCCGAGACGTTGCCTCTTGTGAAAGGTGCTATCTAAAAGCAAGTTGTTGATCTTGTTCGGTGACTGATAATTCATCTCCTGGGTATTTATGGGAAATTACTGTGCACAAATTGCACTCCTACAAAAACATGCTGCCTGAAAAGTATCAAAAGCATTTTCATGTGATCATGTGCTAAATCAAATACAATGATTATTAGAAAAAGCCTTCAGAGATATTCTGGAATATTTAAAGGTGAGCCCTAACTACCATAGGAAGGGGGTGAGTGGGAGTTGGGGTGGGGGGGTGACCATAGGCAAGGTTGAGGGCAGGAATTCTAGAGGTTGCGGGTGGTTGAGTAGTGAATGTAGACTCAACTGTTGAGGGGGCAGTGATTGTGCAGCAGGCCTGAATAGAAGGGGAAGGGGGAAGAGTGAGACTGGAGAAGATCAAATATGAAGTGTGAAGATCAATTTTGAGGAAGGGATTTGCAGCTGAGGGTGAGGATCTTGAAGTTGATTGCCAGGAGCCAGGGAGTCAATGGCTCATGGCGAGAACAGCCGTGATGGGCATATGAAATTACATGCAGGTAAGAATTCA